GAACTCTTTATTGACTATCTGACCAGGAGGGATGAACAATCCCGTCAATATTAAAAAAAAAACAGATCAACGTGGACTTAATGTTGCTCTTGACTTGTTGAGCTTTTTTTGGCCGAGGTGAAGGAAGGCTCTTCCATTGCGACGATTGCTGCTTGCTTTCAGGGTCGTAGCCATAAACCCAACTTTTGTCACCAGTGACAACCTTCGAAAGAAAGTTTGGATCCTCTTGAAGCTGTTGCTGAAGTTCCCTGCAGACTTCCAAGCGATGCTGCTTCTGTTCATTTTGCAGCAGTCGTGGCACAAACTTCGCCGCAATCCTCCTCATGTTCAGTTCCTCTGACAAAATTCGTTGACATGTACCATAACTTAGTCCCAAGGTGTCACACAGAGGTTTTGGATGGTCAGTCTACAATCTTGCAGAATCAGATCCCTAACTTTCACGACATTTTCTGGTGTTTTGCCCGTTGACGGCTGTCCCGAATGATCGTCCTCATCAGTCAATGTTCGACCTTTTTAAAACGCTTATACCAGTTGTATGTTTGTGTCTGGCCTAAACTGTTTTCGCCAAAAGCTTGCTTCAACATTTGGTGCGTTCCTGTAGCGGTTTTCCCAAGTTTGAAACAAAACTTTATACAGACATGCTGCTCTCTCAGGTCAGCCATCGCAAAACCGCAAACTCACGGAAACACAACAATGGAAATACGTTCACCAACAATAAACCCAACCACTCAACTCGACGCCGTTTGCCACACTGATTCAAGAAGGATGTGTGAGGAGACATCTAGCGGTATTTTGATGTACTCAACCATTCGCGTGCAAAATTCAAATTTCCAAAACTTTTGGATTGCCCCACGTACAATTTAATGTCACCCAGCATCATAATTTTAACTTCTACGGTCAGCAGTAACTATAAGACATGTGTGAAATTGTGGTATGGGGGGACACTAGCCACTAGCACTGCACATTTAGAATCCTTCATTGATTTATGATTTATTTATGGTAATATATTGTCACATGAATAAGTGGGGGGGGGGGGTCATTGCCATGCCAGGGTGTCTCTCTTTTTCAAGGCACATTGAGACTTCCAAACCCCTTCTCTTCTAGGCCTTTCTATAAAAGCAGTGGGCTGTCTCATTCACATTAGTACCTGAATATTCTCTAATTTGAAATATATATACGTATATAAAACCATGGCTGCAAGGCAAGCGGAGGACAATAACATACATGTTAGACAGAAGTGAATGGCTGCATGGAAGTGGTTAAACAGCATGCTCATAATCTTTGCAAGGAGTTTAGTGATGAGGTGTAGGTGACATGCTAAGGGCCTCAGTGGTGGTAATGGTGGTGGTGGTGGCAGTGGTAGTGGCAGCAATGATAGTGCTAGACCTAGAGTAACAGTAATAACAACATCATTGTCATAATGATGATGATGACACCAATGGTCATAGAGCTATAGAGTTAGAAATCTGTGCAATAAGAAAGTGGGCTGTTTGAGTTCTGCTTGGAACTCGTGTATCATCATCATTCTTTGCAGCATTATGCTTGAAGAGAAATGTTATAGATGTTACTAAATAGAATCCTCCCATTGTTTCAGATGTCTTTCCAGTCATGTCTTTTAATTTGGTCAATGTTTTAAAATCTGTTTTGGTATCCTGTCAGAGTTTATCCTATCAATAAGTTTCTTCCAGTTTCTTTTCTCTTCTGTAATTTCTGTTACTTGTGGAATCTTTAGTTCTCTCATAAACTTTTCATTTCTTTTTATAGTCTGAAAGGGTGTATACCCGAGTCATGCTTCTGAAATGTATATATGCTGATATTTACGTATTTATTTATTTATTTATTTATTTACTTCATATCCATGGATCATTATGCATGATATAGGACAAGTCAATATTCTTTCATCATTTCTTTTTATTGCCCATGATTCACTTTCATTAGATAATACTGGTCTAACAGATGTCTTAAAAAATTTATTTTATGCCTGGAAACTAAAGAAGGTTTGAAAATCTGATTTATGTTCCTCATATTTTTATAGTATTTACAACTCTTACATTCAAACCATTTTCTTCTTCTTAAGATACATTACGTTCCACATAATTACAAACATGAGTTAATTTCAGTATCCCATCATTAATGCAGATCTAGCTTCTGACTGGTTCCTTAATCTAAAGGTCCTTTTTTTTTCTTTGTATTCCTCTCTGTGGAAAATTCTGCAGTTGTATTGTTCAAGTTGTATATAGAGCACTGTACATCATCTTAAGATTTGGCAGGATAGGTCTTATCAAGAAACAGCATAGTGTCAGTGTTACAATTGTTGCTAATTGAGATGTTTCCATGTCTAGTCAGTCACCATTTGTGTTACTCATATTTTTTTGTTCATATGTATTATAATGGTGAGAACTACATCCTTGTATCACAGCTATGTAAACTTTTTTTTTTTGTGTCATTGTTCAGTGTTCTGACAATTTTTATTTTGACATGTTCATTAATTCAAAATATCTGATCGTTGCAGCTAACGTTTCACCAGGTTCAATGCTGCATTTTGGTGTTCCAATGGGCTATGCTGTCTTCAACACATGCCAGCAATCTATTGAATATAGGTGATGACATCCAGAAATAATCAAAGAACTTTTTCTTCTTCTGATATAATTTTTCTTAAAGAGTATAAAATGTTCAAAATTATTTTATCTTTACAAGTAATGTATGCACACATTATTTCCATAATATCCTTCAATATGTCTTTCACTAATGAAGTAACTGCAGCATTATTTAGTATTTTCTGTCCATGACATAAAAGGACAACCCTTCCCCCAAGGTCCTATCCTAATCTGAAACAACAGCCAATACAGCTTTGCATTGGCCATTGATTTTGCCTTTTAGAATAATGGACTGTGACAAATATTCTGCTGTAGTAATGAAAGAGCTTTCATCTTTCTAGTGGACTGTTTAGTTTGATGTCCATTAGAAGAAAAATGTATAATGTGGACCACGCCTTAGGGACACACAGATGAATCAAAGCATTTGTTGATATTGTCACATGTACTCATATGTGTGACTGTAGATGGGGTTTGAATTGGTAACTGGATTTATTGAAAGCTTACAGATCATAAGTACAAGTAACTATAGCGCTATTGCTAATTCACTCCATCTACAGTTCACTACAGCACACTGTAAGTCTTCTCAGTCTGCTGTGTCTTCATCAGTTGTTGCCTGGTAAAGGCTTCAAATGCCCTAGCTTCCTCAGCTTTTGGTGACTGTCTCACAATTAACTCCTACTTTTCTAACTGCTGCCTCAAAACTCCTCTTCTAATGGCAGTTGGCCCTTGTTATACATACAGCCTGGGATTGGATCACATAGATAACACTGCTTCCAACAACTATTCTGTTGTTACGTGTGTGTCTGTTGCAGCCATTACCTAGCAACGGTCATCTTTGCCAAGCCATTACTTAGCAACGGCTTATTTCGCAGTCATTGCCTAGAAACAGGTCTACATGCCACAGCATGCCTGAATGTGCGTGCTCAAACAAAAGGTAAAAGTGGTGTTAGAAGGAATAGAGTGTGTGAGGAACTAGAGTCTTGTATATGATCATATGTGGATGGGAGGATAATATTGAAATGAATCTTAAAAGACATATATTATGAAGGTATTGGCACTAACTTCATCAAAAAGCGGTGGTTGCTCGGTTGGTATAGTTCACTCGCGGACTACGGGCCACTGAGTTTGTTTATTCATAAGTTGGATTTATGTGGTTCTGTGTACATGTTCAGCAGTGGGCTCTTGCAAACACATCCTTTGGGTTTGAGTATTTAGTCAGTGTGATAAATTTTATAACAGTGGATTTATGTCTGAAATAAATGGACTTCAAGGGCAGCTGGCTATGCAAAGTCACAAAGCATGCATTTAGAAATGATGCATATTCCAACTGAAGCACACTTTTCCAGTCAAATTTGTAGGTGCATGGAGGAAAGGATATTAGTATTGAAATGTGATTGTATGTGTATGATGGGAACTTTAATATTGAGGATATAATGAAATGGTGTTCTGGAATGTAATTGTTCATACACCCTTTGGATGTTGCATGATGTAAGCCAAGGTTTGATTACTTGCAATGAGGAGATGACAGTAAGAAATATGAATGTTCTTTGAGCTGCAGCATATTGAATCATGTCAAATTGCTGGCAATATTTTCATGCATTTGTTGTAATTTTTTGTACTGCTATAGGTGTACAGTGTTGCACAATAAGTATTAATTTTCATATTGAGGGTGGCATTCATCTCACAGGGCACAGACTGTCCATCCCTGATACAACATTTATCACTGGGGAACAGGGGATTTACAACAGTCCAATGGTATAATATACCTTGGGCTGCGCCATAGCTCAAGCATTTAGTCGCTGGCTTCCCACCACGGCGGCCCAGGTTTGATCCTGGATCTGGTCAAGTGGGATTTGTGGTGGAAAAAGTGGTGCTGGGGCGGGTTTTCTCCGAGTACTTCTGTTTCCCCTACCAATCTTCATTCCACCAAATTTTTCCATCATCATAATCACCCAGGGCAGGTACAATAGGCCACTCAGTGGCTGCCGTGCCGAGTGGACATAACTAGACTCCACCCCCCACTAAGCGAATAATATACCTTGCAGGTGTGTTAAAATGGTTATTTTGTAATTGTAGTTAGAACTTACAGGCTGTAATGCTCTGGGTTATTCTGTTCTGATGTTAGCACAAATGTTTTGTTTCACAAATTAAATGAACTAACAATGAATATGATAAATGTTGTTGTGTAGATGATATTAAGTATTCTACAGACTGTCCAGTCCTGTGTGTAAGATTCTAGGTTTTCATGGTAACATGGTGCTAGTTTTATTGTTGACAGGAATTGTGAGCCATATTTACATCAGTTTACAGAATGCAGCACCAGCACTGTTAACTTTCTCTTGTAATGGCAGTCCTTGTCACCTTATATCACTCACAATTATATATTGTTTCATTTGCATTTAGGTCCTGATTCTTTCAAATGGTGCATATGGCCAGAGAATGAAAAAGATATGTGACATAAGTAGTATTCCATGTGACATTTTTGAATTTCCTGAAGACAGTGCTGTGGAAGTAGCAAAGGTAATGAGAGTACAAATTGTTTATAAATTTACAAATAAATAATTTATGAACTTCAGTGCAAAATAGTCACTTTTCAGGGTCATTCTGTAATGTAATTTTATGTGTTTAAGGTTTTTCATAATCAAATTCTTAATATGTGCCCATTCTCTTTGTGACAAAAGACATAAAATCATCTAATGTCAGGTATGCAGTATCATTTATGAATAGCATCTCTCAACTATGACTTCTTGAATCCAATTCATGTTACTGTAACTTATTAACCGTTCAGCGTGGTTTGACGTGTATGTTTCGTCAGGTATTTAAATCGTCTGCGGGGGTTCGATGTCTATGTTTCGTCCAGCTGCACACCTATGTTATAACGCCCATAATAATTGATGGTTTTGCTGTAGATTGTTAGATTTTTCGCTGGCCTGTTGTCAGAAGTTCTATATATAATGGGACACGAGTTTAGCTGTGTTAAGTCATCGTTACATATGCCTGTCTTGCAGCAAAATCATGTTGCTCTTGGAAGCGGTTTCCTCATTCAAACTGTTATGAATGGCGTGTTTTCTTTCCTATGAAGTTATAAACAGCAGAGACGTAATATGTGCTGTGTTTATAATATCATATTGCCCTGAGCTGGCCACACTAACACACTCAATTGGAATTCTTAGAAGAGGGATGTCCAAATTTTATTCTTGCAAGATCGATTGATTTCGCACAGTACATAGCAGCCAGTTCTTAGAAAAACGCCACAAATTAAGGCAGAACACTGTGGTCACCCCCTGAGACCATGGATGTGTGTGGGGGTGGGAAAGGAACTCATTCCTTCATGTATTATCGCTCCAGTTGACTCCATTTTATCGTACTGACCTTGGTAGTCGTTTCAAGGGATGACCATAAATATTTTTTTGAGCCAGCTAAGCTCTGCTTTCGTTCACTACATACCAGCCAGTTCTTTGAATAACTTCATGAATTCTGTGGTCACCCCTATGACATCTGGGGCAGCCAAAATGTTTGGAATCTGAAATGCAGAAGCACCAACCCCTTGTTATGATAACATAAAGGTTGAATTTACTGCAGCTAATCTGGCAAGCTATACTACTCAGGGAGAGACAACATTTCCTCTTGTATTCCCCCCACGGGGAAGAAGGCAAAGCCACACAGAAGATGTTTGGTTTACGGAAAAAATAGCCAAATGAGAGATACACAGTACTGGTGTGGTGAATGTGAAAGCATTGTGTATAGAAGAATGCTTCAATGCGTACCATACTCTGCTCAAATTCTAATCCACCTGCTTCCATTGCCGAGATACCGGTCGCTCATATTATAAGGCAAGGTTATAAAACCATCTTTTAATGCTTCAATGCGTATGATACACTGCGCAAATTCTAAACCAACTGCTTCCATTGCTGAGATACCGGGCGCTCACATTATAAGGTAAGGTTATAAAACCACCTTTTAAGATCATTTTAGTGAAAGTTTCATGTTCCTATCTCATAGAATTTAAGAACAATGATGAATAAATCATTTTCGAGTAAAATTTAAATGGCCGGCTGAGTATATTACCGCCGGAGAGACGGCAGCAGAATTTAAATGACCGCGCAAAAGGGTTAATACAAAATTTAATTTTAATATTATCTCCTCAGCCTTCCGTGGAGCTACTTTCTCTTTAAAATTCCTGTTCTTTTCATATTCAACAAGTATTCTTTGCTGAATAGGTTACATGGAATGTCAAAAGGGAAGATGAGGGTGAATTTTGTTTTCTTTGAGGAGCTGAGGAAAACCACTAGAAACCTTAGATGAGTTAATCTTTAAACTGAGAAGTGAACCCAGGATTTCTGAATAGAAAGGAGTGGTAACCACTGTGATGATTGAGTGTGCTTCTTTTCCTTTCTAACTGAAGTTTTCCTTAGTTTTTCTCATTCCCTCTGGGTAAATTCTGAGATAATACCTTCTTTAGGTCATGAGCACTCCCAAATGCTTTCCAATTCACGAGTTATCTCACCACTGACACTATATAGTCTCGACTCTGAAAGTGTTGTTAAATTACGCACACACACACACAAAAACTGTACTAACTCGCATCTAATTTACCACTACAGAAAATTGAAAATCAGTATTTCTTTATTTTAACAACTGATTTCCATAATATCCGTCATTTCATCCATTTTCTTTTTGAAAGTGTATTTAAAGAAGCCCATCCTCTGAAGCATAAGAACATCCAGACATGACCCAACCCTTAAAATTTGATCCTAAAATATATATTAACTTTTCGTATCGTTGTTCCTATGATGTCCAGGTGAAGGAGCAGCTGCGGAAGGGGGACCAGTATGCAGTGGTGGCAGTGGTGCACTGCGAAACAAGCACAGGTGTGATCAACCCCATTGAAGAACTGGGGCAGGCTGTCAAACATTACCAGCCTCAAGCTGCTTTCTTTGTAGATGCAATGAGCAGTTTTGGTGCTGTGCCAATTAGAATTCAGAATGGCCATATAGACTACCTTGTCAGCTCTGCCAACAAGTGTTTTCAAGGTGTTCCTGGGTTTTCATATATTATTGCCAGGAAATCTGAGCTCCTTAAGTGCAGAGGTATATTCCTTCTACTCTTCAAAATTATCTTGTGATTATCATCAGCATCATTACCCAAATTCTGATTTATTCCTTCAGGCAATTCTCGCAGCCTTAGCTTTGATCTAGTGGATCAGTATGAAGGACTGGAAGGCAATGGGCAGTTCCGTTTCACCCCACCAACACACACATTAGTGGGTTTTGTTCAAGCATTGCAGGAGTTTCAGGAAGAAGGAGGGGTTAAAGGTAGAGCGAGGAGGTAAGACAGCATTACACACTCCTGTGGTGAAAATCGATTGTAATGACAAAGATGGTGTCTATTAGTTCCTGGGTGTTAGGATACCAATGGTGGCAGCCTGAGAGTTCCCAGTGTGGCTGCTAAGATAGTGAGTTTTATGGCATATTTCTAAATTGTGGTTTGTTGGGACTCCCATTTTGGTCAGGGAAGTAATTCTCAAAGCCTGCCATAACATACAGGGGCTAATCAGAAAATAAACTCCATTTATTTGAGGCAGCTATTGTGGGAGCAGGGGAGAGCTTGCACATGCAAGGTAACATCATAAGACTAACTACATTGTAAATCATCACATAACTTGTCACCTAGTATTTGTTCTTGTCTCTTCAGAGTGAGCTATTATGTGTCCTGCGATTGATAATTCTGCCACTTGCTAAAACTGTGCTATTTTCTGCTTGCTTTATGCTAAGTGCTCAGAAAATCCATTGTGAATTATGCGTGGCAGTTTATGGCCTAAATGTAATGAGTGAAGGAACTGTGAGTAAATGGTGGAGAATGTTCAGAGATTGGCGAACAAATGTTCACAATGAAGAGCAAAGTGGTCGGCAGCCATCTGTAGTGAGTGTTGACCAAAAAATTTATGAAGGACCATGCTTCACAATTTCAGAACTTTGGAGTGAATTTCCGCAAATTTTGCGCATAGTTCTCTGCATGATTGTTACAGTTAGGCTAGGCTGTTGCAAGTTTCGTGCAAGATGTGTTCCAAAAATGCTTATGGGTGAAAGATTTGGGGGTTTCACGGCAGTGGGTATGAAGAATGCTGTCTTCTGGGATGTGGTGCTGTGTAGATATTGTGTAAACCGACGTTTCGGATGAACTTATCGCCTCCATCTTCAGGGTATAAAAATCCGCGAGCGAAGAACAAGCGTGAGCAGGTGGCTGCAGTCTACAGTACATTACTCTGAATCATCAGCTTACACAATATCTACATGGCGCCACATCCAAGAAGATGTGTGTGCACAAAATGCAGAGAATGGCTTCAGGTTTGACTTGTTTAGAGCGGTACCACAAAGATGGCGATGGATTTCTCAATCATATCCTACAAGTAAGAGGTGATGAAACCTTGGGTTTCATTTGAGAATGTTGAAATCAAAGAACAGTAAAAGCAGTGGATGCACGCTCATTCACCAAACAAGCCGAAAAAGTTTAAACAAACATCTGCCTACCAGAAAGCTGATTGATGGCAACTTCTTTTTTGGAGAGAAATGGAACGCTGATGGTGGAATTCATGCAACAAGGGACCAGCATAACATCAGAAGTGTATTGCAAAACACTAAAAAATCTTCATAGCGCCATTCAGAACAAAAGGCATGATATGCTGACATATGGTGTAGTGCTCGTCCATGATCATGTGCGTCTGCATACAGCTGTTCGCACTCGAACACTCCAGGAACATTTAAACTGGGAGTTGTTCGGCCACATCTTTACAGCCCTGATCTCGCTCCAAGTGACTACCAGCCCTTTTACCTACCTGAAGAACTGGTTGTGATCACAGTGCTTCAACAATAATGAGGAGTTGATGGAAGGTGCCATCAAAGCATGGCAGGGCTCACTGGCAGCAGACTTCTTTGACACAGGCATACATAAACTTATTCCTCGATATGACAAGTACCTCAATTTCAGCAGTGACTATATTGAGAAGTAGCTTAAGTGTCTATGTATTTTTTTGTACATAATACATTTTTCCACATTACTTGTTTTGTTAACAGCTCACTGGAGGTTACTTTCTGAATGGCCTTTGTAGATTTCAGTCAGCTCATAAATTTCAAAACTTGACTAGGATCTAATGGTGGGCTTTTATAATGACACTGATGATTTTTCAGTTTTTGTAACTGGGAATGTCTTTAGTTGCAAACGAACCACTGGCAAATGAAAGAATTGAGTGGCATGAAGTTAGTTTGTTGCTATAATACTGATTGTATACCACGATTTTGGAAACATTAATTAATAGGATACTAATTACTGTGAACCTATAAATAATGAGTTTTATAAATGCCAGCCAAATTGTTACAATGTTATTAGAAAGGACACAGAAATATGCAGCATACATAGCTTAGCAAGGCTCCAGGAAGTGCCAAAAATACTTTGCATATTTCATGAAAATTTCGAGAACAATTACAGCTTTCATTAACAATTGAGTGAAATAGACTAGAATACATGTTAGGGTTCAGTGAAACCTGGTGAGTAATGCTGTTGTTTCAGGTACAAGCAGAACTGTACAGTGCTGCAGAGAGGCATGGAGGAACTGGGATTCAGCAAGTTGGTGTCTGGTGACTCTGGGGGCTATATTATAACATCATACTACTATCCAGACCACCCCAATTTTGACTTTGAGGAATTCTACTACAGGCTGAGTCAACTTGGTAGGTTACATGTCAAGCCAGGTTATAAGGCTGCACTCTGAAAGATGGGTCACAAATTTGAGCTTTGATTTGAGAAAAATATATATTTAGAATTCAGGTGGATCATTTCCTAATGAAGATCTTAATTACTAAATGCTGAGAAGACTGACGGAGTGACTGATGAAGCAATAGTATGCTTTGAAATAGGCCGCGCCATAGCTCAAGCAGTTAGTCGCCGGCTTCCCACCGCGGCGGCCCGGGTCTGGTCAAGTGGTATTTGTGGTGGACAAAGTGGTGCTGGGGAGGGTTTCCTCAGAGTACTTTGGTTTCCCCTGCCAATCTTCATTCCACCAAATTCCCCATTATCATAATCACCCGGGGCAGGCTACAATAGGCCAATCAGTGGCTACCATGCCGAGTGGACCCAGTTGGACTCCACCCCCAACTAAGCAAATTAATTAAAAAATGCATTGAAATACACTTGCATCAGCTGAATTTGGTGGGTTAAAACCATCTGTTGGGACAACTGTATTTGCTACCAAGTATGTTCTAAAGTTTCACAACTTTTCAGTAACAAAGCATTGCTTAATTTACCATGTGGTAAGAGAAGGAAAGAAGACTAAAAGTTTGTAATAAATTATCAATGTTAGTTCTGCTAAACACACTCATGCTGCAGCCAACATTCTCACTGGCTATGATGACATCCACGCCTCAATGTAAACTGCATATACTTTAAATCAGTAATTCAAATTTTGAGTACACTCATATATAGGTTACACCTCACCCCTTTATACTAGGCATTTTTATTATCACTTGATTCATCATAGTGGAGTGGACAACAATGTTGCCACATAATAACAGTTGTAACTGAGCTGTAAGATTGGTCTCACAATGAAAAAATGAGGGATAAAGGTTGACCATCATTATCTTAGAGCTTCAAAATCAAGTGAGTAAATATTGTGGAATATGTGGATCTTCTGGTCCCTTTAATCAGTTAGTAACAAGTAAATAAAGAGTATTTGGGTCCAGGTTATCTGAAAATATAGTTGAACTTATATATTATGGTGGTCTGTGTTCAAAAGTAATTTAATAATTGATGCACTGGGAAGACCAAGACATAGGTGGGTGGACAATATTAAAATGGATCTTAGAGAGATAGGATGGGATGGTATTGATTGGATTGATCTGGCTTGGGATAGGAACCAGTGGAGGGCTCTTGTGAACACGGTAATGAACTTTCGAGTTCCATAAAATGCTGGGAAATTTTTGAGTAGCTGCAGAATTGGCAGCTCCTCTAGAATGGCTCAGCTCCATGAGTAAGTAAGTAAATTGTAATTGGTGAATTAATTTTAGTAAAGACTCATAGTAGCAGCTTTAGCCAATACCTCTTACGCAGAACTAAGTTACTATTTGTGTGCAGATGGACTGTTACTGCTACTGGGGATCCCACTGAGGTAGGTTGGTCCTCATCCTGATGCAGAGGTGCAAACAGGGTTCTCAGGTACTTCTATCCGTCAATTCTTTCTTTTGCCATCCATACTTCTCTGTAATCATGTATTTCTTCTTCCTCATTGGCCCTCTTTGCCTGCCACATCTTCCCCATTTTCATCATCTGATCCTTGTACTGATATAGGTGTAGCTGCATCTGTGTCTACAGGCACTGTAAACGATTATCAACCCCTCTCTCACCAGCAAGGATCCTGAATTGGATCATGAGATATGCTGACTTGGACGCTCTCATTCATTGACATTTGAAGATCAGAAATTTACAGCCATCAGCTCCTCTGTAGAGTATCGTATGAGTGCAGCTCTGTACCAGTCCTTTGGAGTGTCTCTTTGCAGAATTTGAGGTGCCTCCACTCTCTCTGCAGTAGAAGCATTGTAATTAGCATATTTCCCCATATACCCTTCCTTAGATTGTTTCCTTTCTCCCTTCTTTTCAGTCTTTCTTTGTCTTGTTTGTTTCTTCACATAATTATTTTTTGCTTCTAAAAAATTGAATTATTTGAAATTTATATTTTTATTTTGTTCTGTTAAAATTTAATGTATGATGTGGGAAGGATGTACAATTGAAAGCTGTTGTTTTCAGGTCAGTTAATATATCCTGGCAAACTCTCAAATGCCAACTGCTTCAGAATTGGTAACATTGGCAACCTGTACCCGAATGACATGAAGTACCTGCTCAAGTGTATAGGTAAAGTGTTGGATGGAATGGGTGTTCCTGTGCCTGTACCTGTGCCTGCACCTATATCTCTGCCTATGCCGTGATGTCAAGTTCTGCATGACAGGTTTCTTCTTAATGACTGATGGGTATATGGTATTTGAGTGGTTCAAATATTGTGTTTCTGAACATTATCCATCGTCTTGTTTTTATTTAAAACAAAACGGATATAGGGACTAGCTGTGTCGATTGGGCCCAACTAAGTAGGTTCCACCTGAAGGCAGAGACAGAATCCAATCTCGAAAGTGTTGTGTTTTAAATTAAAACAGGATGACGGATCATGTCCAGAAACACTTTATTTTTATTGATATACCATTGTCACAGACTCTTGAATTATATTTACTTGGGTGGTTGCATAACTTTTTACAAAGTAGAAACATTATTTTACTTAGAGACACTTGCAACGCTTGTACTATTCATGTGGTATATTGTGTTACCATATCTGTATGCCTGTATGCAACCCCTTTTTATGTGACAACTTTTGAAGCAACTCCTCAGTTTTAATTAAACTCAATATGAATGTTGTGCCCCCTCTCAGTTTATTTAATCACCAATTTTTCTTTCCTTCTGAATTATGCAGTGTGAAGCTTTAGGATTGTTTATGAATGACCAATTATAAAAACAGCGTGGAAGGAGCATATGCTGAATTAAATAACTCTCCTAGCTTTTGCCTGGAAGGACTGAGGAAAACCTCTGGAAACCCCAGTCTGGATACAATGTAACATTGATATTAGGAGAATGTGTAAAATTCCTAACAAATTTCATTCTATGGGATACTTGTAGTATCTGGAAATGGATGAAAATAAGTTTTACAAACTTCCAGTTATGTATATAATACAATGTGGAACTAAGGTATGAATAATAATTGAGTCTGGTAATATGTCTTCTTCTTTGAAGTGGTTATTTGGGGGATATGAACATAATGAATAAAACTTCAATATTCTCATTGTCATTAACATTGTATGAACTGATGAGATAAAGGACTTCTTACACTTGCCTAACCTCTTCTACTTGCAACTGACTGGTAGTCAGAAGCAGTAAAAGTGCTGTCCAATATTTGCTGCACACTCAGATCCCACCCATATTCTGGTTTTAATTCACTGCATGTGCTTACATGAGAGAATAAATGCCTGAACTTATATCGAAACAAAGTAACAGACCAACATGTAAAGCAGTTTAAAGTCATTAATACTTGATGTATGTGCATTATGTCACAGGCTGTTCTAAACACTATGATCATAATACACACAACGTCTTGACATTATGTATACAAGAAATGGCTATGAAACAGCCATTATACTTGACAGCTTAACTGTAAAATATATTCATGGTAGTAGCACATAAACTGCACATGAACCTGTAACTATTTAACTTTCTGATCTAATGAAATTAAGTTACCACATTCATAATGAGAATAATTCATTGTAATTTACATGGAGAGAATCTGTACCATCCATAGTTCCTGCGCCTATATTACACGGGCAACACTGGTCCATCTCATTTTGTTTGTCACACATTCACAAACTGATATGGCAAAACAAATCACACCAATATGTATTCATGAAACAATGAAACAATTTAAACCTCATTTTTACATGATACCTAAAATAACACTTGTAGTCATGAGAGCAAAATTTATTGCAGGTGGCAAAGTCATAACAAATGTCACCAGAAATCAAACCCAAACTGATTTTGTGACCTTAATCTAAGTGTCATGACTTTATTACTGTAAGTTTTCATAATGATGTATGTTATGACATTCGATTCTTGATAGCAAATGTTGTGACTTTATACCACCTGCGAATGGGCCTTTAATTTGCTTGGGTTCACTATATATTACGTTTTTTTCTTCTTATTTTGCTTTCTGACAGTCTGCCAACCTCACACAGATATGTTACTACAAGCTTCATATTCAAGTCTTCTATGTTGAACTCTAAATAACTCCCTGAACTGTTGCATCACACATGCATTACAAATATACCTACTCACCAACATGGTGCATGACCTTCTTGGAAAGTTAGTGAGATGGTCAAGGAACTCTCTACTTTTATGTCTTTACATGATATTACAAGGTATCACTGAAATGAGTACTGGTTGCTAAATAGTGATGGCTGGTTATGTTACTGGCTCTTTCAAGAAAAAACCAGCCCATTAATTTTATTATCCTTTTGCTCAGTAGTTAATGTGCAACAACCCATCATAAATGTTAGTGTGATGCATAAAGTCAAATAAGAGTATCTTTTTGTATGTGAAATATGACTGTACTTTACTTCCTGATTTTCATGAATTTAATATGGTTTTCTTTCGATATTATGAAATAATTCATTCATTCATTCATTCATCAGTAATCTGTCATACGACAGGTCCACAGCCTCTTCCAAGGCAGTTCCTCCACTTAAAGCACTCTAGAGCTTTCTCCTTCAAATAAAAATATCCTCTTCTGACCCCAAGGTCATCCAGCATCTTCTTACATCTTTTTCCTCGTCTTCTGGTCACATACATGGTATCTCTGTTTTTGGAAAAGTGATAATGTGGTAGTTTTTCCATTTGCTTTCCACATTGCAGTACAACAGCAGTTCAAACCACTGTGGTCACGCCTGTTGCTATACGAACTTGAACCATCTCAAGCATCATTTGCTCTGTACTTCAAGTCGCTGCTTATGACGCTGTTTCCGGCATCAGTTTTTGGTTTTTCGTGTCTCTCTTCGTCTGATGCCTACCCTTTGACCTATCCAGCAAGGGAGGCCCTGCCAGTAGCTACACTACTGCTGGCATAGCTCTCAGGATCCTTGGCATACTCAAACCCCCTCACCACGATAAGGTGGAGACACCAACAAGGGGGCATGAAATAATGTTACAAATAAATTAAAACAGCACTTCAAAATAACTATACTTTTAAAGTTATTCTTTAGAGCATAAGATTCTTGGGTCTTGTATAAGTTTAGTTCCACATGTATGCTACATTTCAAGCACATCTCAGTAATGGTGATGTAATTACCTACTTATAATAGTCGAGCGGTAAAAAGATGAAGCTCTTGTTAGCTTTAAGAGGTGAAGGAGGAATGAAGGTGTTTTAAAACAGAGGAAGATGTTGTGTTTCGTGTCAAAAATATTATGATATTGTTACATGTAACACCCATTCATAGACAACGTGTTGGTACAAAAGTTCTCATGAAGACTGATTCTCGATAAACAGTCCGTTGCTAGGTTACATAACCATAGATGAGGCTATGTTTTCTATGCAGTCTGCGTCAAACAACAGTAGAATAATGGGGTTATGCAATCTGTTTCTAAGCGATGGCTTGGTAAACACATTTCCACATATCGGACTGTGCTACGAAAGCGGTGATGTCTTCAACAGTAGATATGGGGTCTGTGCAGAGTGCTTATAGGAAAGGGGGTGACAGAATTTGTTCAGGGCAATTACACATCAGTCATAAGCTGGATGAGTGAGTCCAGAAGAAGTTTGAGTTCCTAGGTTCCAGAGTGATTGAAGACGAAAGAGCAAGAAGACTTAATAGTGATTTCAAGTGATAATTTCTGTGCTGAGATCCGTTGCTAGGATACGACTAGTGAAAACAGAATCCCAGTGCAACAGTGGTCTGGAAAGTGTGTAGATCAGCAATAGCGCTGTATTAAAGGTAATTAAGAGAACTTATAGCCGAAGTCCTAATAAATCCAGTCTTCTGATCTACAACCTGTTATTTTCATCACATGTACCACCCTACATATTACAAGAAAATAATAGTTTTGTGTGTATGTGATTGTGTGATGTCATAGTTTTTTTATAAACAAGTATGCAAAGATGAAATATTTTGTGCAGCTACTCAGTTATATAAATTGTAAATGAAGAAAATGTGCAAACTAAAGTAATGTTTTGAAATGGAGCAAGGAACAGATTCTTGTGGTGAGTGCATAATAGCAATGCTTTGCCTTTCAATGTTGTGTCTGCTTCTACAGTATACAAACTAATTTTTCTTACTGAAAATACTCACGAAGAAGTCTAAATAATAAAAAAAAAAAGTAAAAATAGAAATAAACTTAGAATTGGCGTTGAAAGTGAAGGCAAAGACATTATTAGCAATAAGTTCATGATGGTGGTATATTAATACAATTATTGGCTTTTTTTTGACATTATTACTGCCTGGTTATAATTATATAAAATGTTTTGGAGACTGGACTCTGCTCCCATCCTCAGATATTAGGCCTACTCATATGGTCCCAGTTGACAGAGCTAGTTCCCATTGGTTGCTGCAGCTGTTCTGCCTGACTGTGTTCCCCAGATATTCCAGCTCATCACGAAGGTTCTCATGTTTGCAAAGAGCTCTGCTTTTCTTTATAGTATTTATGTTATCTCCCAGTATATTCACATCATCAGTATAGACCAGCAGCTGAGCAGTTGATGTGTCCCATTTGATTTCAGTCCCACCTTGTTTTAGATCATTCTGAATAGGAAAATTATCAGATAAATATTTACCTATACAGACTTTACTATGCGTTTCGTTTAAACACATTTTAATCAACCTAACTAGTTTCATGGGTACCCCAAACTCTATCAGAATATTGTATAATACTCCCCTCCTAACTGAATCACACGCTTTCTTGAAGTACTGTCTCATTGTACTCCAATTTCTTTCTGCAATATCTGCCGAAAGCAAAACATCTGATCAGTAGTCTATCTAGTACATCAAAACCCACACTGATGATCCTTAATAATTTCATTTATACATGGACTTAACCTTGAGAGAAGGATACTGGATAAAATTTTGCATGAAGTTGATAGCAGTTGATTGATTGATCAGGCAATTTTTTCTTATTCGAAAGAGAATTAATGAGTTTATGGATGTCAGACCATAATGTTTCACTTCTTTCTTGAATCAGTTCTGCCAGAATTTGATCACTACCTGATGATTTATACCTTTTAAACTCTGCAATAGCACTTTCAACCTCAAAAGGGCATCAGATAGTAATGGCTCAGCTGTATGTACTTCTATCTGCCTAACATCACTGGTCCTATGTACATGCAGTAACTGAGAGTAGGTCCTCCACCTACCCAAAATGTTGTGGGAATCTGCAAGCAGATCACCATTCTCATCCTTCACTAAGTTATGTCTAGGCTGGTAACCCCTCTTAAATTCATTTATTTCTCTATACAGCTCTCTAATGTTCTTGTTCCTACTGTTTAT